TGGAAAAGGATTTTCCAATCCGTGAAAGAGAAAAAGAGTATTCGTTATACAAAAATTATACGTGTTTAAGTCGGTAATACAGATCTTTAGGATCCCCTTAAAATTATATTTCTTTTCAGATATATATTAAAATAAGTTTTTAAATATATATCTTAATACTTAAATAAGTATATATATTTAAATAAGTATTTAAATTAAACTGAATATAAATAATATTTACTTTTTATTTAAATTTACAATTATAAAAAGATTTACTTTAGTTAATATTTTAAAAATATTTTGATCATAATTTTCGTAGAACTTTCCAAATTCACACATTATAGAAGAATTCAAAATTTCGTCCTTATCAACATCATCTGTGAATTTTACTTTAGACTTCGATATTGTCTCACAAATTTCAGACTCTTTAAGTGTGCTGGTGCTATCTTGGAAACAATAAATTTTGCAATTTTAAATTATGTGCAATATAAACAATTTTTACCGCCCTGCCATTTGTCAATATATTTCTTCTAGAAATACATATATTACATCATATGTACTGAAGCTCTTTTCGCACGCTATTGAAGTAACTGGTATATAGTTTCAAAAATTGTACAGCTATCCTTTTTCAAAGATTTGTGCTTTTATGTAGACCACTTCACCATGTTATTGATGAAATTTTATCAACCGTTTGTCGAAGAAACTGTTAGTTGAAAGAGCTTTCTTTAGCTTGGAAGTTGACCAAATCACAAAGGATTTTATTTTCATCTAGCTATGGTATCTTTTTTATTGACTCAAAAATCAACCCTATAATTTTAATCTAAAAATAAAAACAAATATTTAATATTTATATATATATATGTGTATGTGTGTGTGTGTGTGTATATATATATATATACCAAGTGTTTTATTTTAATTGATGTATTAAAATATCTCGAGAATGATACGGAGGATTTTAAAAAGTTTCAAATAAAAGTTATATATGTGACTTTGAGTGGGACATAAGATGATAAGATGATACCATTGGTTTGATTTTGATTTGATCTGATCAAGGTTAGGGGAAGATTATTTTGAATTTTTTAAACGGGATCCTCCATTTTTCACTACATATTCTCGTAGTTTATTTTGAAAGCTTTTCAAAACACTGTAATAAAATATTTTTTCATTGAATATTTTTCTCTCTCGAGGTATGTTATCCAAATGGAGGATGAATATCCAAATCGGGAGTTCCATTTAAAAAATTCCTATGGTACCATCTTGTATTCCCCTCGAAGTTACATGACTTTTGTCTGAAACTTTTTTCAATCCCACGTCTTCTCGAGTTGGGGCGATTAAAATAAAACATCCTGTATACATATTAATGTTTTCTCTTATATTGATTCTCTAATATTGATAACAGTTTTTAGAATAACAGTTTGCGAAATTTCACAAAAGAAGAATAAACTTTTTTAAGACCGCAAATGTGAATACCCAATTGAGTAAAAACTCTTAAAAAATGATCTAGGTTAGATGACCAGAAGTCAGCGTGCACACGTACGTTACTGTGAATAGGTAACAGAGCATTACGGCGCAATTAAGCGCAGTACAATGACGAAGTTAATGTCACGGTCATTGCGCAACGGACACGGCGTGATCGCAATTGAGCGCAATTTATTCGTTGTGCCCGCAACTGATCGGGTGTCGTCGAATGCATGTATAGGGCGACGCGTTTACTGAGGATATTAACAATAAAAACTTTTTTTTTGTACGGGATTAATGATAAATCTGTTGACATAAATCATGAGCGATAATCGATACGAATAATCGATATACATATATCATTAACGTGGATACCTTTCTTGACTGGCGATACCTTATGACATTTTCGATATCGGATGTAAAATAATTGTCTAAAAAAAAATACTCGGTACACTCAGTGGCACAAGAGCCATTGTCCGCAACTTCTCGAAAGAAGCAAAGTATATTAAAAATTAAAGTTATATTCTAAAAGTACATTATATGCACTAAATTGCATTTACTTAGTATGATGTGTTCAATCGCCATTATTAAAAGATGCAGCTTCGTTATGGGCTTTATTTTCTATTGATTATATATTCACGTGTACAGTCCAATAAGATTCTTATTAATTATATCACGTCGCCTGAAATGAAGACATTTGTTTTCACACATATACTAATTACTATGAAGAATATTACTAAGGCTTCGGTGGTCTTAAAGGCTTACAACGCTCATGGAATGCAAGAAATTCAAGTTCGATCCCCGACCGAAGCAATATTTTCCACATTAAATTTATTTACAGATTTTCAGCACATTAACATCTCTCTAATAGCATGCCTGATTTAGCATCAAATTATTAAATTGCTTATCAATTTAATTTGTGATATCGTATCACTGTATAGAAGTTCAGTTGCGTTTCTAAATCCGGAAAATCAATTCGGCGCAATGACTACATACGTATATATGGAAATTATTTAAGTATCTAAGATCCAGCTTCGACCGTTATAGATTTTTTAATTCTTATTTACTGTTTATTTATTTATCAATCAAAAGTCAAACATATGATGTCTATACTCTTATTATAGAGACTTTTTAACCTAGAATAAAATTTATTGATGCCATCACTATTAAACAACTACGAAATATCATTTTGTTCTTCGAACACTTTCCTTTCACATAAAGAATTATTTATACTGGCCGTAATCTGTAAGAATAGACCAATCACGTTCGAATGAGAAGGAAATAATCGATTACGATCGTTCTTACAGATTACGGCCAATATAAATAATTCTTAACTCTGACGACATTACGTTCTATTTAGCACTCGCGAGCATTTGTCCTTGTTTAACATTTGAAATAACAAAGCTGAAATGATTCTACGAGCGTTGTGAGCGTCAAGTGGAACTCACCCCAAATCGAAATGCACTTGTAATATTTTCAGAGAAATCAAATAAAAGTCTGAAAATTTCTCTCTCAGAGAAAACTTTTCGAGAAAAATTGCGCGCACTCTCATGATAAGTAATGTATAGATACGGAAATGTTATGATATAAATTTTTACGTGAAATAACAAATTTGTGGTGCTTACTAAAGCAATTCAACTTTTGTCTTAAAAGGAGACAAGAGATTTCTATGATTAAATTGAAACAAAATTTTTGCGAAAATTTATTTCAAGGAAAGAAACATAAATGGACATAATTCTCCGTTTTAATGTTATTTATTACTATATATTTGAAATATAGAAAAATTAACTTGTAATACGAAATTTTTTGAAAATATAAAAGTTTTCTGTGTGTGGCCATTGAAAACGGGCTGGAAAATTTCGATTTTTGCTATGATTCCATGAATTCTAAGGAAGTAAAACTATGTCCATTATTTCTTTTTACTGAAATATAGTCGCTTTCGTCTTTAACGTAACCATACGAATCTCCTGTTCCCTTTTAAAAAATGTGAACTTGATTTATAAAATTATTGTAAGTTTCTAAATAACTATATTTAGAAATTTTAATTTGACTTCTATCAAGTCGAGTTGTTTATTTTCCTGATTATAATAACGTAAATAGGTCAATATCGATAATCCTGGTCTTACGCTCTGCTGCTTCAAAAGTTTTCATTAAGCTGACTATATTAAGAAAGAAAATGCCTGAATGCACAAAATGACGCTTGGACGAGTAAAATAAATGTTAAGTTGCGATTGAAAGAAATTACATAATTAAACCGTTTGTTTAACAATGTTAATTATTAATGTGACAAAATTTATTGTTGCATTAAATATGTGATCTGTTCAATTTTACATTTTCTTTTAATAATAATCGGTCAGTGTCTCTTATATACATATATACATCAAAAATTTTGTTCCTAGTACGTATTAATGATCACGATTTTTTACATTGTATCAAGGAATTATCTCGTGCTAGAAAGCATTTTTCATGTAAAACGCAATTTTTATGCAGCGAAATCCATCATTAAGATATCATCTAGAAGCACGTACCATTATAGCGATATTATCAAATAGAGGATGATTCATAAGTGACATATAAGAAACGTTATATATATATATATATATATATGTATATAAAATACTAGATTTTTTTTTTAAATTTAAGAATGAAATTTTTATGAAATGATATAAAATTTTTAATTACTTATTTATCTCATATTTATAGAAGTAAACTCTTTAATACATGAAATTCAAATGCACAGAGAATAAAAGAGGCACATAACAACAGTATTTGATAAGTTCAGTTTTAAGACATGCAATTCAATGAAAAGTAATGATTTGCATTGAATTGCAATGAAAGTAATAATCGTTATCTGACCAAAAAATTTCAACGTCTTATCACGATTAATCGCGAATTATTTAAACGAGAAGAAATTAAGATTAAATGCGATAATGTTTTCTGATTTTAGTACGGACAGCGGCTGGGACAATCCGTTCAGACCGGATGGCGATCTCTCCCGGGAAGCCGATGAGATTGTCGAACTAATAAAGGGTGGGAAACCGATCACGCCGACTCCGGGTCAGAACGCGCCGCCGTTACCGGGATGCGATGGCAAATCAGGCGACTCGAGTACCAGCCCGCTTCTTAAATCCGCGAATTGTCACGCTAATTCGTCACCGAGGCCCGGTCAGGAGAATGGCAGTGCACGAGGTAGCACTCCTTCGAAAACTGCCGGCAACCAACCTGTTAACGAAAAGGTGAGATGTTGACGAAAAGGATGCATCGCTGCTCGATACAATGACTGTTCAATTTTTGCTTCTAACGTTAATTGTTAATTTGATAGTACAGTGTTTGTATTTAAATCATAAATAAATACAATAAAAAAAATGTCTCTAAGAGCCGATGCAAGATATCGTTGCGAATTATGATTTATTTTATATACAACAAATGGTTTACGTTTTGACTTACGCTGAAAAAAATATTTGTAATTACATAATTATTCTGGGGTTTTTTAATATTCTTGCAACATGGAAAATTACAGATTATATTAATTTCACGTGCAATATATATTTACAAGATTCCGTTGAACATGAAATTTTACATACAAAATATAATATAAAATGTAAAGGCGAGCAGACTTATTAGCCGCTTTGCTTCGTCTATTGTTTTCTAGGCACGTTAAGTTTACAGATTCTGATTGGCTACAATAACATGATATCCAGCAAAATCTGGCTAGTTAATTCAGGGATAATTCCAGGACATTCCAGGTAAAAATCCTGGTTTTTCCAGGATTTATATCCATCGATTAATTTTCATTATTTAATCAATTTTCATCCTAATCATGGGTCGGAACGTAATTTATTGTATTATTATATAAAATAAATCATAAAATTCGCAATAATATCTTACGGCTCTTAGAAGCTTTTTATTTATCTTTGATTCACTCTTCGAGTGGCACAATTTCACACTAATTGTTCATATTTAAAGTTTGAAGGTCTGCCGAATTAAACTTGAACATTATTAGATACAAGAATCAAGACAAAAACGAAGATAAGTTAATCAGCCATTCGTAATGATGTCTGGTTCAGGTCGGCGCGTCTCGGACCGCAACGGTGGAAGTTGCGAGGATGACGGCGCAGGGCCCGGGCGACGCGTCACAGGTCGAGCACGTCACCCTGAAGAAGAAGCCTAAGTGCAAATGCTGCGTGCTGCAGTAATGACCGCGCGACGGAGCCAGCGGGGACGCGCACGAGAGACGATCCTCCTCCATTATCGGGAGCGTAACTTCAGCTTCGTGGCTACTGAAGAAATCACGACTGGGCAACTCGAGGTATCGAGGACGCATCGATGAAGAAGCGACTCGAAGAGGATGCCGGAACAGGAAAGCGCCGGTATTCCAAACACGCTCGAGACCTGAAGAACAGGTCCAGAAGATAATTTCTCAGAGGGAGAAAAAGGTTTCGTCTTTAAAGAAAGTGAAGAAAGTGGAACGAAATATTGGAAACGATGAGAATATGATTGGATATACGAGAACATCAGATTGTTAGAAATCTGAAAAAAATGAAACGAGCAGCAAGTCAAAGAAGCTTCTTGTATCTTTCAATCATAAAGAAAAGGAAAACAAGAAAGAATATTTTGGTGGTAACAAGAGCAAATTTAATCGGAATATGAAGAAAATGAGGTAAGAGGCTATCGATTCTTGTTGAGGAGATTGGAATCTCTCTTAAAATGCTCTGGAACATGAAGTTAACCCTTGCCGTGGAAGATTGGACTCTCGCCAGGCTATCTCTGGCTTTCAAGCACGGAAAAGAGGGATCCACGTGGAGGATGAGACAAGGAACGTCAGTGCGCGAACATTGAACCGCTTTTCGAGAGACAATGATATTTTAATGATGTCACGAGAGACCAGAGTTAGGAAAGAAATGGAAAAAGAAAGAGAAAGAAAAAGAAATATATATATATATATATATATTATACATACAAAACTATATTGTAGATACAGAATGGTAGCTGTATAGCTTATATGCTTTTACTATCGTGGTTAATAATCATCAAGATTATCGTGATTTAAAAAATGCATCGTACGCGTAGAGCGAGAAAGGAAAAGAAAGAATGTGCGAGAGAAAGCGCGAATGTGAACAAGAGAGAAAGGGAGGAATGATGATGAATAATATGACTATATAGGTGGGAAGAGTGTGTGTGCGCGACGAGGCATGTAGGCTGCGTTTAGGGAGCGCGTTATCAGTGCTATTTGTGTCATACTATCCTTACTTTACGTTCTAATGGATGATGAGGATAGAATGACACAAATAACGCTAATAACGTGTCCACGAACGCAGTTGTAAAGTTCCGCGGGACGTCATTCGTCTGTTAGATCTTGGTACGAACAAATACATCGCCGTTTCTGAGGAAGCTAACTTGGCAGCTTTGATCAATCTTTCTTTGCACTGCGAAGGATATTCAACGCGTCGAACATCCTGTATACAGAGGGAGTGTGCCAAATATACCGCATGCTCATCCGCATCTACAAATTTCTTGATCAGTTTGGATCAGTTTTCCTTCAGTGTCACACTATACCGTTTCACAGGTGCAACACATATATGGCATACCCAACTCAACTTTGATTGTTTATAACTTTTATAAAAACGAATACATTGAAGAAATTTTGTTGAACATAATTAACAACTTTTTTTCAATTAAAACAAAGGATACAACAATATCAAACAAATGTATGTATCTTTATTAGTAAAAAAAGTTATGAGAGTAATAAAAGTAAAGAGAAATTTCGAAAAAAATCATTTTGAAAAAAGTTGGATATGCCATATCGAAAGTGGCATTGAAGAGTTAATAATTTTACGCTTTATTTTTAATTGCTTCTAATTTAGAAATTAACTGATATGTCGTCTATGATCGAGAGAGAGTAAGCAGTTTTTGGCACTCTGTACAATAGATAGGCGTTTATTTTATTAAAGTGGTTCTTTAGTAAAGTACCGAAAATTTGAGGCATTTTATCAGTACCCACTCAAAATCATAAATATCTGCATAATTTGGATAAAATGTTAAAACTACGTGTATATTTTAATGAAATAGTATAAAATACACAATAGTATCCAAAAGTGATGAAATAAAATATTTCTTGTAAAATTTTTCAGATAGCAAAGTCTCGTTTTAACAAAATCGGACAAATCTATGATTGCTTATGATGTCGATAATTTTGCCATAGATTTGTCTTCAACGATTTTGAAATATTCATTGTAGCAATGCTACTTAGGTTGTTTTATATAACAATTTGGCAACGTTGCATCGTTGAATTATATTGTAATTATAAGCGAGGTTTTTATATCGTAATTTTTTAAACTTCAGAGAAGTCTATGGTAATATTTGTGTGCATTTACTCAAAGAAGCGTCTCCGATCCTTACGTGGCACTGAGTTATACGTTAAAAGTTACATTTTGCACACGTATATCAAGTTCGGCATTTCGACTTTATTATATAAAGAAGTTAGACATTTCTATAGTAATTCGATTTACTAAAGAACCACCTTAAACGCATCGAAGAGTTCCGTAGATAAAATTTCTCTTTTCCTCATCTATCATTTTATACAAAATTCTATTAAAAAATCATTATTCTATTGTCTTTTTCTTCGCTTATCTTTGTTTCACTTTTCAAAAATTCATATTTCACATACAGTAAGAGGCATTATAATAGGATAGGAATCAAATATCTCTTTCCTATGATAAAAACAAGCATGTAACAAGACATAAATGGATGATCCAATAGTCGCAAATGCTGAAATATAACTAATAATATTAATTAGCAGAAGAAACTGGCTACAATTTACATTGAATGCATTCCGAAAACAAAATTCCGTTTGAACGATCGACGTTTCAAAAACGTGTTTTATCGATAAAGATAAAAATATTTAAGATATCATCCATCGTTAATTAGTTATTGTATTTTGACATTGATCATAATAAGTCATCAATGAAGATTTTCGTAAAATTAAAATACAATAATAATTGCAATAAATGTTGTAAGTGGAATGTCCCTTCATATTTATCAATTTGTTAAATTCATGTTGTTCGCGAGTGATTATAGATTTTATTACAAATTTTATTTATATATTTATATTTGTGTCAGAAATGGTATAATGAGCTTTCTTCTTAATTAATATTTTTAATGCTAGTCTCATAACTAGTATCTAATGATAAGGCAGCTAATTGATGATAGTGTTCGCAATTTTATCTACGGAACTCTAAAGAAAGAGGATTATTTTTCGCGCAGGTATAAATATCGTTATACGCGTTATTGCTCTTACAAGGATCGAGTCCTAAAAATCTTCACGCGTGTCTCTTTTAGAACAACTATTGAATCAGTTGATTACCCTCGAATCGGTAAGTCCGCCCTCAATTTTGTCCGCCACAATGCGAAATTAATCCCGAATCCTTTTTTATAACAATCAATTATATACATGTGAGATTTTTTATCGTAACGAATTATGCAAAGTATTCGACTTGATTGCAATTTTGTAGTAAAAAATTGGCAGGGAATAAGAGAGAAGAAGTTATACTTCTTCTGCAATTAATCATGATGAACAGAATTGCGCCTTTTTGAACATGTCAAGGATTCGAACTTGAACCTTGTCATGTTTCATCGAGTACCTAAGTGCATTTCGTTAATTATTATCATGAGCGTCGCCAGAATTTTCCATAAGGGCACACAGAATTGTTAATTATTTTTCAAAATATAAAATCTTCGTTAGAATTTTATATATATATATGTATACAGACAGGAAGAAAGAGAGGGTGTTTTATTTCAAATGTAATGGAGCGAATATATCTGGGAAATTATGAAAGATATAAATGTTTCAAATGAAAGTTGTATGGTCTGGAGGGACGCAAATATTGATAAAATTGATTTTCGAAAAATCAATTTTTCAATGTCATATGGAGTTTACTATCATTTTATTTTATTAAATTATATAATTTTTTTATATAAAATGATTCCTCTAATTATTCCGCATGTAAAAATATTATGGTAAAGCTATAAAAGAATCAATAGTTTACGAAATATTTTATACTTTATTCTGGCACATATTGATATGAAATATTAAATATCTCGTAACTATTAATTTTTTGATAATCGTACTTTAATATTTTTATGAATAGAATAATGAGCTGTATTAATTAGTGTAAAGAAAATACATAGTTTAAAAAAAATATATATAGACAAAATAGATAATTTTTTTAATAAGCAATTACGTGTTTTTTTTATACTACTTGATTCATCTCATTATTTTGTTCATAAAGATATTAAGGTACGATTATCAAAAAATTAATAATTCATGAAATATTTGATATTTCATGTCAATATATGTATATATTGTGTCAAAATAAAGTAAAATATCTCATAAACTATTGATTTTTTTTATGTCTCTACCTTAATACTAATATATGCAAACTAATTGAAGGAATCATATTATGCAAAAAGAAATCTTACAATTCCATTTTAAAAAATGGATGTGAAGGTGACCTTCATATCTTTTTGATACCTAGAAAAAAAAACGTAACCAAAATATATCTTCCTTGAAACCGTTCAACTTTTATCTGAAATATTTTTTTCGTATCTTATATATTTTTCAAGATATTTATTGAGGAAATTAAAATGAGACACTCTGCATACGCAGAAATAAGTTTTATTATTAAACTAAAAAAATTATAATTTTTTTCATTGTCTTGTAGCACATTAATGGCATAGTATCTGAAATTCTGAATTAAAAAATTTTATTTAGCTCTTTTTTTCGCCTTTTTTCAAAAACTCAGATCGTGCCTCTCTGCATTTTTCTTACGACACCCATGATTTTTACGTACCTGCGTTAATGAGTTCCGTGTTCGATCAGGGCGAGCTGGTACGAAATATTATAAATTATTAAAAACTCACGACCACGATGAGCCTTAAATTATATAATTTAAATTTTATAAATACGTAGAAGAATTGGTTCCAAATTAGTCACAGAAACTGTCGTTAAAATGTATAATTTGATCAAAACAGCCCAGCTTGCTCTAATCGGCGGCGAAGCGGAAGTGCGCGAGGTGCCGGAAAAAAGGAGCACTATTATTCGAACGGTATTGAAGATACTATTTTCTTAATTAACAAGCCACTCGAAGAAGGAAACTCGGCGCCTTCCCACTTCTGCGGTGGCGATTTTTAATGGACGAAAACAATTTATTGTGCGAACTAGTCGAAGGTATCGGGAGGTATTAACTCTTCGTGGCGGCGATCACACAAAGTGTTTTTTGTATTATAATTGTTTTAAAGTCCTAGTTGCGTATATATCTATATATAAGGGATAATTACAAGAGGGTGAATATTGCATCATTGCGTGTAAAGCACGACGCTCTAAATCTGTTTGAAATCCTTTTTAATTTTAAATTGTAAAATATGCCCCTTTCTAAACAATATCAATAATTTATATTGAATAATATCAACAGTGTTGTAACAGGTATCTTTTATAAGGTATCTAGGTATAGATACTCTGTGGAAAAAGTACCTAGTGACAAGTATAGATACATTTTTTAAAATTATCTAGATGTAGATAGGGATACAGTAATATCTGAAAGATTTAGTTATTTTTTTAGATATTTCTTACAAAAAAATAAACTGCATAAACGAATTTTATTTTGCGAACTACTACTTATGTAGTACTTATAAAAATGTTTGGATAATTGTTATTTGTCATGCTTTTTATAAAACAGTAGTGTATTGGAAAGTCGATTTCTTTTTGGGATTAAAATTATGTTTACAATATAATGACATAATGTATAGATCAATGACGTATATACATAGACCAAAAATTCTGTTCATAGCTTGAAGCCAGAAGATGATAGTTCGATAAGATTTGTGATTCCGTTACATCTCTTTCTATCTTCAGAGAAAGAAGAGATAGCATGGAACCTCAACGGTCACTGAAGTCAATCTTAAGTTACTTAAAACTTAAAACTGTCAATTTCCAACTTCATCTTCCATCACTGAAAAATACGGGAAAGTTTGGTTTATGTATACTGTTGATATATATAGATAAATATCTTGTATCACAATGTATTTAAATTTAAAAAGTATCCTACAAAGCTACTTATAAAAACCTAGATAATGCATTTAGATACTGCTAAAGTACCTAAATACTATACTTAGATATTTATACCCATGATAAAATAAGAAAGGTGAGCTATTGCGTATAATAGTGGAAAAGAATGGGGGACACGAAATGGCAACTAATATTGGACCCGTACAAAGCGCATGAATTTCAAACACGCATTACTGATCGGAAATAAAAGCACAGTATACTTATTGAAAATAGCAACAATATATTAATCCAATCATAAAAATATAAAAACTTTTAAAATATAATATCATTAAAACATAGTAAATGTAACATTACATATTTTTTTGTTTTCTTAGCTTTTCCGATTGTTTAGCCACTTACAAATGCTTTAAAACCTTTCTTCTCAAGAACTTTATACACAAACTATCGTTAGAAAATAATTTCCACCTAATTGCATGCTCACAAAAATGGCAAAAGCATCAGTCATATTAGATTTCCATGATACGAATGTGA